TCAGTCTGCCCCTGCTTCTCCCTCTTTTGTCCTATCCCCTCCTCAGAAAACAGAAACATATTGAGAGCCAGAGCAGAAATTTAATTTTAAAGACATGTTTGTATTCTCTTGCACTTATTCAGTAAATAAATAAATAAATGTAAACATTCTAAAAATTCATCAACCTCTAAATATATGTAACTTATCACATATCTCTATTGGAAATAGTCAATTACACAGCAGCCTACGATATATTAAAGAAGTACTCCAACGTACAGATAACATGCATAATGTGTAAAATATATGCAGCCCTATATTCAATATCTTCTTTTATATCACTACCATACACTTAGAGACAATACCATCATAATAATTTCTTTAAAAACAATTTAGATCAATATCAAATGTTCATACATTCTGGTTCAAGTGTTTCTAATTTATATATCCACTGTGTCTCCCTTTTTGAGATTTCTTTCACATTATCACCACCCCTTCAGTGTCGTTTTATACAGTCTATGCCACAAAATCTGAGACAGCTTGGGTTCTTGTTATGTTTCTCTTTAAAGTGTGTTGATAACACTGTGTTTTGTAAACACCATTTTTCTTGAAAATTATCTTTTTTTCCTGCCAACATATTGCAATTTTCAAGGACATTGCAGAACGTATACTACATTTGTGGAATCGCAACATATGAAGTCTCTCATTTCATATTGTGTCTTAGTCTGGGATGAGGAAAAATGAGTGAAATGTTTTTGTTGCCTATCAGTTAATTTACATGCTCTACATTTATAACATCTAAAAATCACTTTCTTTTAAAAAAAAAAAAAGTAAAAATTTTTTTTTTTTTTTTGGGGGGTGGGGTATTACAATATGGACAACCTTCTTACGTAGTGAAGGGACTTTTCTTCCTTCTCCCATTTCATCATTACATTATTGGCAACACTGGGAGCATACATACATTATCGTGCCAAAAGTAATTATGCATGTCTAATTCTTGTAATTCTAAAATTAGCTGTCTTTTTGTTTCCTTTTCAATGCTGTTTTTTTTTTTTTGTAATGCCCACTTTACTGCATCAGAAGCATCACCTTGTCTATACTTGTATATAACGAGTTGACATCAGTCATAGCTAGTAAACATATATTTAAAACTTCACATTTGGATTCCTTTGTTTTATTTTTTCAATTTGTGCTAACACATATGAGTTGATATAAATATATTGCATTGCACTATTGTATTGCACCTAAATTTTAATTTATGCTAGTGCTGCACTATTGTTTTGTGATGTTTATTATGCTCTGTATTATGGTATTGTGGTAGCTGCTACGTTTTTACTAACATCTAACAGGCGGCACTGCTGGGCACTGATGTGTTCAACTGCTTGTACAGCACTGATGGGGTGCACTGATGGGTGGCACTGGTGGGAGGCACTGCTGGGCACTGGTGGGTGGCACTGTTGTACTGATTAAAGTGGTATTAAATTCAAACCCAAAAAAAGTCATATGTTGCAACTTATCAATAATTAGATGTAGTGGCTGCATTCGTTTTGTTCTTTTAGGTTTGTTTCCCTCCGTTTTCACCTGGTGATATGGCCAGATTTCCTTTGGACAGCAATGTTGTTAGTCTCGAGGGGGGGGCTGGTAAATGTACTATATCATTTAGATAAACTAGCAAAATTGAGGCAAAATTACAGCTAACAGGTTTTAAGCAGTTACAGCAAACTATTTTTTTTTTTTTTTTGCTTTTGGGACAAAGGGTCACATAAATAAACGCTGATCACCTGTCAGTAGTAAATGGTTTGTCTTAACCCTCCAACTTCTACATTTGCAGGACAGCCTGTTCTGTCAAAAAACAACAGGATCATCGGGTGAAAAAAAACCCAAAAGCCTAAAAAGAAAACAAATGCAGCCACCAAATCTAAGAATTAGCAAGGTTGTTTTTGGGTTAAATACCACTTTAAGGTAAAGCGTGAATTTTAAAGCTGATCTAAAAGCGCACCGGTAAATACACAGATGAATTACGTACATATAAGTGAACTACTTTATCTTTCAAAATATATTTATTTCTGTCTTTCCTGTTCTTTGATTTACACAGCGCAACCAGCCAGATGCCACCACTGTCACTTATAGACTGTAGAAGGAATAGCTCTCTCCCCTCAGTTTGCTGATTGAACAGTGAAGGTACAGCAGCAGATTGATGAGGTCATTGTTCTGCTCATTCCATTTTCCCCTATCTGCATGTTCTTTGTCAGTATATTTACATGCAGAACACCTAACTGACTCTTAGTCCTGCTCCTCCTTTACCCAGTCTGAGGATTTCTGAATAGGAAATTGCAAGAGGCTGATTCTACATCAAATTCAGGTTTGCACACTAGTTGGATTTAAAGATACAATATATATTTATGTATTTATTTATTTATACAGAACTGCATTAAATTTGTGTCTGAATGGAGTTCAGCCTTACATATGCTAAGTTGCTTTTTTTTTGTTGTTATTTTTACGCAAGAGTTTATTGTTATTGTCAGCTTCTATTTTTACACAGATCTTGGTGAATCACTTACCTTTGTTAAATGTCAGCCACATTGTTAAATTTACATTTACATTTACATTTATTTAAAGAAATTACCTTTAGCTCCATTTTCACATCCTAATTTCTCATTGATGGGAAATGGGGGACGATCCGCTATATCCTCAGATCTGTTTATAAGGGCTTCCTGCATCACTTCAAATCCATTGAACACCACTATCTTTTTCCTGAAGAACTGCAAACTATAGATGTTTCCAAATCTTTTGCGTAACTGTTGAACAGATAAAAAAAGTTGTAGCTTTTTTAATAGAATAACTTTGTAAATATTTAGCATTGGAATTGTGCTAAGGATTTATGGTCTACAAAAAGTGCTACCCTGAGACTGACTGGAGTGGAGTAATAGCACTGTTGGAACGGAAAAATGACAAAAATGTATTAACTTATACAAGTTAATTTGATGGTATAATTTGTAAAACTCCCAACTAGAAATGATGCCCTGCTGGGCCTGGCAATCTCAAAACATGCAGAGCATATGGCTAATGTTCATATAAAAGAACATGTGGGTAGCAGTAACCATAAGAAAGCTTGATATCATTTATTGTAAGCAGTAAACAACAAACACATACTGTAAAGACAAAAAAACACTTCATTTTAAGAGAGTGAATTTTCCAAAAACGAGGGCTACTCTCCAAAACTGGGAGGGCATATTGTCATCAAAGAACACAGAACAGAAATACAAATGTTTCAAATCAACTGTATGCATTAATAAAAGCATTAAAGACAAGTTGCAGGTTCAGGTTTATAACAGGTTTCAGGTTTGTTGCATTGCTTAACCCCAAACCAGACAAACTTATAAAAAGACCAATATTGGTGTTACACATTCTTAGGGGGGCCAAACAAATCATAAAGCCTAAAGTTAAAGCCTAGCTGGCAGACACTCTCTGAAAAAAATTAAAAATAGGCTACATTGGATCTTAATGAGAAATTGATGGCAAACCTTACTGACTCAATGGCTAAATTCCACAAAAGCTGCAACCCGTGGGTCACACATTTTCCATCCATCAGATTTTCACTGTTTACTGGATCTCTTGGATTCAGGGGACTCTGAAGGATAGATACCAGAGTGTGGTTGTAAATGGGGATCATTCAGAACAGAAACCAGTCACTAGTGGGGTACCACAAGGCTCTGCGCTAGGTCCTGTTCTATTTAATCTATATGTAAGTGAAACAACTAATGGGTTGTTAGGTAATGTATGTCTTTTTGCTGATGACACAAAGTTGTGTAAGAGGGTTGATATCCCTGGAGGTTTCTGTAACATGGAACAAGATTTTGCTTTGCTGGAAAATTGGTTAAAGAAGTGGAAACTGCACTTTAATGTTTCTAAATGTAAAATAAAAGCATTAAGCGAAACAGAATCCCTCCACTGAATACAATATAGGGGGTGCAGTGTTGGTCAGATCTACAGAAAAAAAAAGGATTTGGGGAGTACTTGTTTCAGATGATTGCATAATGCGCAAAAGGTATGGCCAGATAGTGGGAAAAGCAAATAGAATTCTAGAGTGTCATTAGAGGGATCACTGGAAGGAGGAAGGAGGTCCTGATTTCCCTATATACTGTAGATCTTTGGTTGGAACTCATTTAGAATACTGTGTCCCATTCTGGAGACCTCACTTATATTCATAGGATAGAAGTCCAGGCACAGTTACACAGAATTTCTCAGCTCTCAAAGAAAGGGGCTGAGACCTGAAGTTACACCAGTGAGGGGAGTTGTGAGTGCTGATTGGAGGAAAAGGACACGCCCCCCCTTTACACAGGCACAGAGCTGAACATGTCAATTTGTTGAAGATCCCTCCCCTTGTCACCATTTTTCTATTGGTGTCAGGAAAGTTCATCAGAAGTAACTCATACTGATAGAGGACAGAAATTACACTTAGTGCTCTGGATTGAGATGAGCAAACACTATAGAGGGATATGCTTTGTTCATATTTCATATCTGAGGTTTACAACCACATTATTATGTGAAGCTTGGAAGAAAGAAAAGAAAGAGGAGACATGATCAAAACTTTTAAATATATCAAGAGGGGAAATTAGGTTCAAGGGGGTATTTTCAATATGAAGCCAAGATCAAAAACATGGGAACATGGCCTCAAACTAGCAGGAGAAAAGTTCAAAACTATTCTCAGAAAGTATTATTTCAGAGTAATATATATATATATATATATATATATATACACACACACACACACACACACACACACACACACACACCCAGGGGCGGACTGACCATTTGGAAACTCGGGCACTGCCCGAGGGCCCGGGGTCAGTAGGGGGCCTCATGAGATGCCCCTGGTACCTTTTTCATAGGCTTTTTTGAGTGTGGGCAAGGACACAGGGGCCCCATGATCCCCTATTGCCCGGGGGCCCATGAGTTGTCAGTCCACCCCTGATATATACACATACACACACACACACTATATTGCCTGAAATATTGGGACACCCCTCTGAGTCAGTGAATTCAGGTTTTTCAATCATCTCCAGGGCCACAGGTGTATAAAATCAAGCATATACAAAAGGAAAAAATGCCCTCATTAATGGTGTGACCACCCATCAAAAAAGATCTCTCCGATTCTCCCTGATATGGGGTGTGGATTCTAAACCGAATTAAGCTTATAAGAAAAAGGTTAGCAGCTGACTAGAGCAAACTGCAAAAAAGACAGTATATTATAAATCCAATGCAGAGTAAACCATTAACATCAATAGTGGATGCAATGAATTTCTTTATTTTGATCATAAAGATCATTGGAAAGGTTAGGCATTATAGACATGGTGAACACACAGTCTTCATAGATAGGAGGTTATTATGGTGTATGGGGGGTCCATTGTGATAGTATTCTGAATGGTTCAATCTTCACAGTTTCAGGTTCCTGTTGTAATCCAATATTTTAAATATCTTTGCACTTCCCTCATATACTCATCAATGTTGGATATTAGGATAATAAATAGAGAAAATCCTGGAGGATTAAATATGTGCAATGAGTTTAAAATCTAGGAAGAGTCACCATATGCATGTATCAATATATATCACATCAAGTTTAGATCCAATAATTCCTGATTACTCTAAAGAGGAAAATGATATAGTAATCTTTAATTACCTTCCTTGTATCTCGTCATCATCATATGAGCTGACAAGAAAGAATAGAACTGTGTATAGCCAGCCTCAATCGGCCGATATTTCTAAAACAAGATGATCTCAATGGATGGCACTATTGCTAAATCTATAATAAATAACATGGATATTAGTAAAAAGAAAAAATCATGTATTACTGATGGAAATATCAAATAAAGATGATGATTACCCTGATGTAGGTCATCTTTGTTTTCAAGTAGAAAAGTGTGGATCTTGAGACCCATGTTCAAAAAATTGGAGGTAATAAGCCTCTAAGCATGTATTGGAAAACAACAGGAACCTGAAACTGTGAAGATTGAAACATTCAGAAAACTATCACAATGGACCGCCCATACACCATAATAACCTCCCATCTATGGAGATTAACACTTCCTTATTCAAACAACGGTTTTTCCTACCATTTAATTGATGCAGCTAAGTGAATGTGCAGGACTTTTTTTGGTTTTTTGTTTTTATAATCACTGTTTTTATTTTTGTGATTGACTGTGTTCACCATGTCTATAATGCCTAACCTTTCCAATGATCTTTATGATCAAAATAAAGAAATTAATTGCATCCAGTATTCATGTTAATGATTTACTCTACATTGGATTTATAATATACCGTCTTTTTGTGCAGTTTGCTTTAGTCAGCTGCTAACCTTTTTCGTATAAAATCAAGCACCTAGGCATGCAGACTGCTTCTACAAACATTTGTGAAAGAATGGGTCGCTCTCAGGAGCTCATTGAATTCCAACATGGTACCGTGATAGGTTGCAACCTGTGCAATAAGTCCATCTGTGAAATTTCCTTGCTACTAATTATTCCATGGTCAGCTGTTAGTGGTATTATAACAAAGCGGAAGCAACTGGGAACAACAGCAACTCAGCCACAAAGTGACAGGCCAATGTGACAAGTTTAAAGTTTGGTGAAGGGAGGATTATGGTGTGGGGTTGTAATTCAGGGGTTGGGCTTGACCCCTTAATTCCAGTGAAGGGAACTCTTAAGACATCAGCATACCAAGACATTTTGGACAATTTCAAGCTCCCAACTTTGTGGGAACAGTTTGGGGATGGCTCCTTCCTGTTCCAACATGACTGCACACCAGTACACAAAGCATGACATGGATGAGCAAGTTTGAGGTGAAGGAACTTCATTGGCCTGCAAAAGTGCTGGCCTCAACCCGATAGAACACCTTTGGGATGAATTAGGGAAGAGACTGCGAGCCAGGCCTTGTCGTCCAACATCAGTGCTTGACCTCACAAATGCGCTTCTGGAAGAATGGTCAAACATTCCCATAGACACACTCCTAGACCTTGTGCACAACCTTCCCAGAAGAGGGGAATTTGTTATAGCTGCAAAGAATGGGCCAGCTCAATATTGAACCCTATAGACTAAGACTGATATGCCATTAAAGTTTATGTGCATTTAAAGGCAGGCGTCCCAATACTTTTGACAATATGATGTACAGTATCTCACAGAAGTGAGTACACCCCTCACATTTTTGTAAATATTTTATTATATCTTTTCATGTGACAACACTGAAGAAATGACATTTTGCTACAATGTAAAGTAGTGAGTGTATAGCTTGTATAAAAGTGTAAATTTGCTGTCCCCTCAAAATAACTCAACACACAGCCATTAATGTCTAAACCGCTGGCAACAAAAGTGAGTGCACCCCTAAGTGAAAATTTACAAATTGGGCCCAAAGTGTTAATATTTTGTGTGGCCACCATTATTTTTCACACTGCCATTTTCCCTCCCCGGTGTCATGTGATTCATTAGTGTTACAAGGTCTCATACACACACACACACACTTATATACACACATATACACAGTATAGATAAAAACCAAATGGGCCAGACTTGATGGATCACTTAGTTTGTTTTCTGCCTCCTCTTTTTCTCTGTTATTTTTCAGCTTTCTCTATACTTAATGTCAGGAATGGACTTGCCAGTAATGGTGGGACTCACCTGCCTTGTGGGCTGCAGTACCAGGGCTGGCCAGCGGGTGCTCCCAGCAATCAGAGACTCAACCCTGCAGCCAGCCAAACACCTGAAGTTGATTACACAGGTGTATTTAAGGGATGGCCAGACCTGCAGTCTCTGCCTTGGTGTGTGTTTTTCCTGGGCCCTGTATCTTGTTCCTGCATCCCTGTTCCTGGTCCTGTCTCTGTCTGATTCGTTGCTAACCCTGCCTCATCCTGACCTCTGCTGACTTCTCCTGTTTCATCCCTGGCTTGTGACCCCGACCATTCTCTGCCTGACCCCCTGTACCTACCTGCCCGATTGTTATTGACCCGGCCTGCCTGACGACGCTTGCATTGTATGTACTGTTATCTGTGGGTGGTTTGGTTTGGTTCGTTTGCACTGTGTTTTGTTTTAGTATTGCACTGCGTTTATGTTTGTATTGTTAGTCTTTAATAAATTACATTGTTTATAACTTATCTGAAGCCTGCGTTTCCCTGCGTCAGTCACATACCTCTGGTCACACCCCGGAGCCCTGACATTACACCAAGGCCAATCCTGACCAAAAGTGGCTGCACAGGGAAGCCATCTTGGCTTGTTGCTGGGAAGGATGGATCTTGATGAGGTTGTGTATTTATCTCTGCTAGTGTTTGATGACAGAGAGTATGCTTATCAGACTCTGAAGGAGTATCCCAGGGATGAACTGCTAGAATGTATACAGATCGCTCATTGCCTAGTAGATCAGGGCACAGAGTTCTCTGAGGTGCAGCCATTGATTCAGGTTTGTGCTGAGTTGGTTTCATCTGGTACCCCCGAATGCAGGGATGAATTTTTGCCGCCATTTAGTGCCGACCAGGTAGAGTCCCTGGTATGGTTATTAGAGGATGATGTGGATTACTTTCTGGAGCGTTATTCTGCATGTTCACCACAGGTACTAAGAGATTGTATAAACGCAGTGCAGTCATTGACCAGACAGGCTTTGTGTAAACTGAGCTTTGTTCAACCCATACAGCAGACACGGTCAGACTTGTTGCACCCAGCCTCAGTCAGCTTACAACATCATTCCTCCACTCAAGGCATTCTTCCTGCATCCCCGACAGCACCCCCAGTGACTGCCCAGTATACTCTAACTACCACATACCACTTGCTGCACCTATCCTTTCTTTAACCCTGTAAAGAAGTCCTCTGTAGCAACTGCTCCCTCCTCTGTTCCATCTTCCAGCTCTTCTCTGTCCTCAGCTGCTCCATTCGTTTGCAGACCTGCGTTTACTTGCAGTGCCCCAGTAGTTAAAACCAGAAAAAAGCGGAAATTCTTTCCAACCAGTACCATCCTGCCAGTATCCAAACCGGTGAGCCTGCAGTCTGAGAACCTGCCTTCCGTGGTTCAGCCTGGTGCCTCGGCACCCGCACTTCAGCCTGATGCCTGTACCCAGCCTGATGCCTGTACCCAGCCTGATGAACTGATCCAGCCTGATGATCCTATCACGCCTGATGACCCAGTGCCCGCTGTCGAGCCAGACGATCCGGTACCTGATGACCCGGTGCCCACTGTCATGCCTGGTGACCCGATGCCCGCTGTCGAGCCAGACGATCCAATGCCTGATGAACCAGTGCCCGCTGTCATGCCTGGTGACCCGATGCCCGCTGTCGAGCCAGACGATCCAGTGCCAGATGACCCGGTGCCCGCGGTCATGCCAGTTGACTCGGAGCCCTCACTGTCGTGCTGTCGTGCCTGGTGACTCGGTGCCCGCTGGCAAGCCAAATGACCTGATGCCTGGTGACCCAGTGCCCGCTGTCATGCCTGGTGACCCGGTGCCCGCTGTCGAGCCAGACGATCCAACGCCAGATGACCTGGTGCCTGCTGTCGATCCAGACGATCCGGTGCCCGCTGTCGTGCCAATTGACTCAGAGCCCACTGTCGTGCCTGGTGGCCCGGTGCCTGCTGCTCCGCCTGGTGGCCCGGTGCCTGCTGCTCCGCCTGGTGATCCGGTGTCCAGCTCGATGTGCCGCTGCCCGAAGTCCAGCCCGGTGTCCTGCTGCCCGGAGTCCAGCCCGGTGTGGCCGCCGCTGCCCGGAGTCCAGCCCGGTGTGCCGCTGCCCGGAGTCCAGCCCGGTGTGCCGCTGCCCGGAGTCCTGCCCGATGTGCCAGTCTTTGATATCCCGCCAGTTACCAGACCCGGGCGGTGGAACATTTTGCCCAGCTAGGACTTTTTGGAGCGTCCTGAGACCGCTCCTTGAGGGGGGGTACTGTCAGGAATGGACTTGCCAGTAATGGTGGGACTCACCTGCCTTGTGGGCTGCAGTACCAGGGCTGGCCAGCGGGTGCTCCCAGCAATCAGAGACTCAACCCTGCAGCCAGCCAAACACCTGAAGTTGATTATACAGGTGTATTTAAGGGATGGCCAGACCTGCAGTCTCTGCCTTGGTGTGTGTTTTTCCTGGGCCCTGTATCTTGTTCCTGCATCCCTGTTCCTGTTCCTGTCTCTGTCTCTGTCTGATTCGTTGCTGACCCTGCCTGATCCGGACCTCTGCTGACTTCTCCTGTTTCATCCCTGGCTTGTGACCCCGACCATTCTCTGCCTGACCCCCTGTACCTACCTGCCCGATTGTTATTGACCCGGCCTGCCTGACGACGCTTGCATTGTATGTACTGTTATCTGTGTGGTTTGGTTTGGTTCGTTTGCACTGTGTTATGTTTTAGTATTGCACTGGGTTTATGTTTGTATTGTTAGTCTTTAATAAATTACATTGTTTATAACTTATCTGAAGCCTGTGTTTCCCTGCGTCAGTCACATACCTCTGGTCACACCCCGGAGCCCTGACACTTAATGATACACAGGATTTGTTGTTTTTTTATGCAGATCAATTGTTGCAAGGTGATTTTAAACCTGCTTGCCAATATATATGACAATGCTTGAATCTCTTACGGTTAGTACTCATACTGGTTGGGTTATCAACTGCTCTGCAATGCTAACTACCCTATGTAACATGATTTTCTTTTCACAAATTATTTTAAAAAAGTGAATAAAGGATAAGTAAAGGCATTAAAAAACATTATAAAACTCAAGGAACACTCTCATCATTTTGAAAGTCATAAAGAATCTAATAGAATATGTAAAAAGGAAATCATGGCTGCAAAAAATCAAAACAAATGATAGGTTGCAAAAGAGAATAGGAGAACCCCCCCACAAAAAAATCTTCATAAAGTCAGGTCTAAGCATGTAGGCCCTTTACAAGATAATTTAGCATTGGTTACTGAGGACAAAGAGAAGGCAATTGTATGAATTACCTTCTTCGTGTCTGTGTACACAAAGGAAAAATGAGGGAGAACTCCATAACAGAGATAGTATTGACATAGCCCCCAAAAAAACACTATGGCACAAAACAGATATGGTCCAGAAATATTTAGACAAAGGTGAATAAAGCACCTGGACCAAATGGTCTACACCCTTATGTCCTCAAAGAATTGAGCTCTGTTGTTTTGAAGCCATTTTTTTTTAATTTTTGGAAGAAAAACAGTCCATAGTACACTCAATGACATGGTGATCTGGAAGCAGTGGAATACGGAACATGTAGAGTGCCTAAAAAACCACCAAGGGGCGTTAAGGGCTGGAAACCAGTGCATACAGTAACCAAATTGTAAAAAGTACATTAAATGGATACATAAATACACAAGAAAATGTATCACGGGAATGAGACTTGTGATAAACAACCACATGATAAAATAGCAGAAGAAGAGAAGAGAAATGCAAAACAAAATAATAATTATACATTAATTATGAACAACAACTAACGTCCATGTTGCCGCCTTCTGGAGTGGCTTGGGGAACCAGCATCCAAAGCAACAAAAGATAAAGAGGGGCGCAAACCAGCCTCATAGTGTAGTAAGCTTTATTAGTGTAGCCAAAAATAAAAACAATTATATGGACAAATGTAAGACACTAGGATCAGCATATAACAGAGCTTGGACCATCCTGAAGTGCAGAGCCTGAAAACCCTGTTCAGAGGGACACCATGCACAGGGATCACTGATGCAAGGATGGACACCTCTGTACTGAGTAAATGACCATCTCTGTTCCTGCTTGTGTTTGGCTTGCAAAGTATAATGGGAAACACATTTCGAGGAGTAGGACTTCCTCTTCTTCAGTCCAACAGCAACTAGCCTTTGCAATAATATACTGGCTCTCTGTAGCGCTGACATGCTGCAGGTGAGAATCACTGGCAGATTAAGTAAATAGAGCACCATGCAAGAGAAGTGAAAAAGCTATGGGACGAATTAAAGTTTTACTAAAGACAACATTTTTAAAAAATTTAAATAATAAACATGTTGTAATCATCTGCTCCGTGTGATGGTATTGCACAGAGTGGCTCAGAAACCTCCTCTTCAGGGGTCCCCTGCCAGAAATCTTGGATTCCTCTTCTTCTCCATGTGCCCCATAGCAAGCTGGTTGCTATGGGGCGCACAATGCATACTCGCTCATGATCTCTATAGACAGATGCAGCGTGGCTTGGTCCTGCTCCCTGCTTCCTCCCCACAGCATTTTGACAGCAGCAAAGAGCCGTTGGCTCCTGATGCTGCCTGAGTTGCTATGTGAAGAGGAAGAGAGAAGATCCAGCCGTGATCAGCACTAGATCAATTGAGGACTTGGGTAAGTATTTAAGGAGGTGGAGGAAGACAGAAATCTCTATAACATTTTTTACCTTTTAATTCAGGAAAAGCATTAAGGTAAAAAAAACACTGTAACCACTTCAACCCTTTAGGACATACCCGTACGTCCTTTGGTTGAAGTGGTTTTACCAGGATGGTGCCTGCACCTGCAAGCAACATCCCAGTAACAAAATTTTCAGCTGGAGACTGGCTTTCTTGTGATCCAAGCAGTTATACAGCCACTTGATCAATTCTACAGGGCCTGGAAGGGGGCCCCCCTCCTGCAGTCGCCCACTGCTTTTACCAGGTTCTCCTGAGCAATAGGGGAGAGTAAAAGTATACACACATATACATACACATGCCTAATGCAAATGCATATGTAAGTGCATGTGTAAACAGTGATCGCACCACACATGTGAGGACTTACCAAGAACATCATAGTGAGAGTAATAATTCTTGCACCAGAACTCCTGTGTAACTCTGAACTGGTAACCTGTAAAGACTTTTAAACCATCGCATATGGTGATTTTTAGGTACTGTATTTTGGTGCCATTCCATGAGTATATGCAGTCCTAAAGTGTGGTAAGTTAGGTATCTGCTTACTTTGCATAACATTGTCTTTTATATTTTAACAAAAAATTGGGCATTATATTGTGTTTGTGTGCATTGAAATTCAATAAATTGAATTTTTTCCTAAAACTTGTGTTTATAAAATGGCTGCGCAAATATTGTGCAACATACAAATTGCAACAATCAACATTTTATTCTTCAGAGTCTCTGCTTTCAAAAAAATATATAAATGTATGGGGGTTCTAAGTAATTTTTTTTTTTTTTTAAATTGCTGATTCTTACATGTATTACAGAAATATCAGAATTGACCTGGGGGTAACGTGGTTAAAAAGCACTAGACATAAAACAAAGTGACAATCTAATAAATAAAAGAGAACCATCAAAACTATATCATGATTTACTGTAAAAACAATCAAATCATGTGGTATACTGTATACTGATCAATTAATTTTTATTTATTAATTAATTGTAATAAGATGTAAAATTATATATTTTTGTATTTTGTAAATAAACAAAAAATATTAACCACTTGCCCTCCAGAGGATTTACCACCCTCCCCCCCCCCCCCTTCCCTCCTTCCTGCCCAGGCCATTTTTTACGATACGGCACTGCACTACTTTAACTGAAAATTGCGTGGTCATGCAACACTATACATAAATGAAATATATGTCTTTTTTTTCATAAATAGAGCTTTCTTTTGGTGGTATTTGATCATTTTTATTTTTGCACTATAAACAAAAAAAGACTGACAATTTTGAAAAAAAAAAAAACAATATTTTTTACTTTTTTCTATAAAACATATCCATTAAAAAAAATAAAATTTTGGGTTATGGTGGTGAAAGTTCTTTCAATACCATCACTCTTGAGGCAGCCTACAAAAAGTTCTCCTGCGGTGGTACTGGGTCCCAGTTTGGACTGCGCACTTTAATCCGACTGGCGGAGTGTTTCCAGAACTGTGGTTTACGTGTGGGGACGTCTTGCACATCTGGTAGTCATGCCCGCGATTCATAGGCTTCTGGTCTAGTATTAATACACCCTGCTGATTTGTATCTGCTTATGCATACTATTGTTCCGCTCTGCCCTTGCGTGAGCGTATCATGAGCTTGTTGTATTATAAAAACAAAAACTTCTTTAATAAAAAATATTGAAATAGAAAAAAATAAAATGTCTTCATAAATTTAGGCCAAAATGTATTCTGCTACATGTCTTTGCAAAAAAAAATCCCAATACGTGTACATTGGTTTACATGAAAGTTATAGCATCTACAAATGGCGGTATATACATACTGGAATTTTTATTTATTTATACTAGTCATAGAGGCGATCAGCACGCCCCCTATCCGGAACTGCAAAATCAAGTATACATACGTGATTTTACGCAGAGCAGCCGCCCTGTAGCAGTATATCTATAGGCAAGTGGTTAATAAAAAGGTATCTGAATGAAAAAGATAAATATAAAAGTAAAAAAAAAAAATAAATAAATAAATATATATATATTTTAATACTAATATGGTCATGAAGATGCAAAGATACCAACACTAAACCTAGAATCAGAGATGCTATGATGTCACTGGGCTGAGTGTTAAGGGATACATACTACTAGGTTTTATAATTAATACGATAAGAGTAGAACAATATGTAATGTGTACCTATATGAGTAAAGCTGCATAAGTAAACACACAAAAAAGTGCAACAGAATAAGGAGGAACTAATAGCAAAACGCCAGTTACTATAATGATACAAAACCGAGGCTGCATCCAGGTCCCCACAATAAATGTCCATGCACATGTCAGTTTCTGCTTCTAAACTCTGAGCTTACAATATGCCTCTAAATGAATGCCAATGTTTTCATGTAATCTTGGTAATCTTGCGATATGCCATATTATAACCAGTTACAAACCTAATAGAGTTTGACTGGTCATGGGC